CTGTCTCCAGTCTCTTCCTGATGGCTTATCTGGCCTGCTGTGCTGTTTACTCTATGAAGGGCTTGGGGTTTTGTGTGCACACCTGGTTCACCTGGTTCCTGGACCCTGGCGTGGCTGTGTGGTGGGACACACTTACAGGGCTAAGCTTGTGTGTCCGGAAGTAATTTGCTCCTGGCTCTGTCTGGGAGAAGAGGGAGAACGTCCTCGTGGGAAGGAGGAGATGACAGCAATCATTCTGTCAGCAATCGCTGTAAGAAGGAATGAGGGTTTGGGAGAGAGAAGGAGCATGGGATGAGACAGCACAGCAAAAGCTGCCTAAGACTAAGCTGTTCTGCAGGCTGGGGTAGAGTGCTGAAGGTGACAGGCCTGTTGTGTAACCTGGCTTGATGGAGAGGTGGGTAAAGTTGTCCACTTGCTTAGGTACAGTTAGGCTTAAGTACAGTTAGGCTACAGTTAGGCTTGTGAAACAAACTGGGGATACCATCCCCAGCGACATTGCAGGCAATAACAGTCTGAGCCTACGTACTCTCAGTACCCTGGTGCCTCAGCCAGGCATAGGCTGAGAGGTGCCTTTTGGCTTCTGAGACCTGTTTCGTCTTGGCACTCTGTGCTGAGGCTGCCTCTTGTAGTGGTCTGTGGCAGTGGCTTGTGTGCTGGGGATACATGACAATCAGAGACTGAGTTGGGACTCTCAGAACATCTTGTATAAGCCACCAAGATGGTTAGCCATGTTAGTCTAAAGTCATGCAGAAGGCAGGGAAGGGTGGCACCTTGAACACTGTCTAGTTCAGAGGGGTTTGAACTTCAGACCACTTACTTCATCAGATGCTGTGAGGGGACATTTATAACCTCTGTTGAAGCAGGCTGTTGCCTACAAAAGCTCATGCCTCTCCAAATTAGTTAGACTGTAAAGTGCCACCCTGCCCTGCCTTCTGCTTGTATAAGTCACTGAAGGTAGATCAGAAGGTGATGATGACTTTAGGACCAGCTGGGACCTTGGAGGTGCGAGCTGTCCCCACCCTTTTGAGCTGTTGGGTTCCTGAGCTTGCACCAGGGGGAGAGAGTAAGCTGCCTCCAGTCCTTTCCTGTCCTTCTAGGCGTGGCGGGGATTGGTTGGGACTTGAGGCACAGGTGAGTGGTTGAATCATGTTTTGAGCTAGCGTTCCCTCAACTCATTTTTGCTTTTAGTGCAATGTCCTTCCCCTCCCCTCACCCTAAATCTACCTGAACTGGCCTTATGTCTGCCCACCTGCGCCTATGGTTTAGCTCAAGGGCTGGCAAAATGTGGCCCGCGGGCTGGATGCAGCCTGCCAGGCCATTCTATCTGGCCTGCAGGGCCCCTAAAAATGTAGAAAAGTAATATTTATCTGCCCCTGGTTGCCTGTCATGCGGCCCTCAATGGCTTGCCAAAACTCAGTAAGTGGCCCTTTGCCCAAAATAATTGCCCGCCCCTGGTTTAGCTCCAGGCTGGGTGAGATCAGTTGAGATGCTGGAGCTAGCTAGCTGTGATTAGGTGAGGGGAGGGCACGCACTGGCACTCAATCTGACAGAGCCCTCCCTTTTTTGATCTGTATGGTGGATCACAAGGCCTGTCTCTTTCTTGAGGGGTGGGAAGATTGGGGAGGAGGAGTTTAGCCTTGACTGTTGTGTGAGGAGCACAGAAAAGGAGAACATGGAACAAACTGAGTTGGATTGTGAACCTCCAGATGTGAAGTGTCCAGATGCCCAGAGCCTGTGTTGGCCCCATGGTGCAAGTCAAAATAGATAAATAACAACTAAATAAAATCCTGGTCTGTTTCCCAAGTACCACTCAGCACACAGGAAGCTGGTTGCCAGTCTTTCTGTCTGCAGGCTCAGTACTTTTGGTTAGGCCCAGAGAGTTTCCTGTTCATACTGGGTTTTGCAGAGATAGGGCTGGATTCCACCCTCCGTGGCGGTGGTGTAAACCCAGAGGAGCACCCCAGGCTCCTGTGGAGTTGCTCTGCCTTCATACAGCTGTGAGTGAGAGCAGAGTCTGGCCCCATGGCTCGCAGCCTTCGCTTTCATGCCTCAGATCCCGGAATAGAGCCAGGCTCCCCCAAAGCCACCTTTTTATTTGCGGAGAAGCAAATGATCTTTTTCTGGGGAACAGATACATTTCTGTTTGGCTTCTTGTAACTGGACAGGAGCTGCTAAGCAAAGAGAGGAGTCTTATTAGCAGGTCAGCAGAATGGCTATAAAGTGAAACGCTTATAAATAAAATCAAAGCAAGCACTGTGGGGGGTGGTGCAGGAGCAGTGAATGCTACTCCAAGTGCTCCCAGCCCCTCCCAGAAGGAGGTGCTGTAGGGAATGGGGTTGAGGCTCCACCTCCAGAGGCACGGGGACTCCTTCCCCAGCACAGCTTATGGTAGTCAGGGTAGTTGGGGCACTGGGATATGTGGGGCTTCCTGAAACTCCAGTCCCAGCCTCCCCCAGCCCTAATGTTGAAGAGCATACTGTGGAAGTGCTGGCTAGTAGCTCTGTCTATAGAGAGGAGCTGCAGTGCAGTTCACAGCTACTTCAGTCCCAGTCTCTCCTAGGTATAGGGGCTGGTGCAGGGAAGCTGCTGGTGCCTTGGGCACCAGCCTCTGCCAACAGGAGTCTGTCTGGGCAGCAAGGGTCGTCTGCTGTGCTGCTAGCTTGGGTTTTGTTCTAGAGTCCGGGGCGGGCTGCAAGCAGACTGAATGGATCAGTCCTGTTGGAAGCTCCCTTGGAATGACCTTCTGTTCTCTCCTTTTTCTCAATCGCTCCCCAGCACTTTACCCGACTCTCCCCCGGACTCCGGATCAGAAGCGTACTCCCCTCAGCAGGTGAATGGTAAGTGCTTAAAAAAAAAAAAAGCCCCAAACTCAAACCCAACATCCTCCCCCTCCATGCTCCATGAGAGTGGTTGGCTCTGAAATCTTTATCAGACAGGGGAAAACAGCCGGCTGCAATACGTGGAGAGATTATCAGTTAGTAAATATCCCTAGACTTTCCCCTATTGTTCTCCTGCTAGTCTTTGAAAGCGGGAGAGAAAGAGAGACGTGAAGGAGAGAGGAGGAACAGGAGAGGAAGAGAGGTGCACAGAGAGCAGGAGAGGGGGACTACTCCTAGGTAGGGTGTAGTGGGAGTGTAATGGAGTGGGCAAGTCTCCTTTCACTGGTATCGGTACTGGGGGACTGACCGTGCCTGAGTGAGGGAGGAAGTGCGAGAGAGAGAGCACATCCCAGCAATGAAGCCTGACTGGAGGAGGCAGCCATGAACTTGCCCTTCAGCGGTAAGTTCTTTCTGAGCCTTCCTGCTCCTTCAGCAAGCCCAGCCGGTCCCAAGGAGCTTCTATCTGTCTCCTGCGAAGGGCGGGGGAACATGGAGCCCCTCCCAGAGGCTGTTTTCCACCCCTGCCAAGAAGGCGGGTCAGGCCTGCTTGGCTCTGCATGGGTTGGAGGAAGCGGGTGGATGTGGTGTGGTCCCTGTGGCAACATTCCACTCCCTTGATGGCCGGCTATCCATGGCGGGTGGGTAGAAAGGTGTGGGAGGGTGCTCCAGGTTCCCCCTGCTGCCCTGTCAGTAGCACCCTCTTTTCAGACTCCAACCCAGTTCTCGCTGGGAACAGTTCCTTCTCTTTTCTCCCTGGAAGAGGTCAAGAGTTTTGTTTATCTTACCAAAAAAATCCTTGGAATTCCTCCTGGCCCTTCCTTAAATATAACAAAGAGGCCGGGTTACTGCAGGGAGAGCTGCGCTCCCTTGCTGCCAAAGCAGCACCACCTTCGCTTCAGGAGAGCAGGAGGAGAGGCTTTGGAGAACAGGTCTCGATCGGCTAATTTCTCATGAGGCAGGAGTCAGTGCCTGGGACCTGGTTTTGCCTGGCTTGGATGGGGCTGCATGTATGCAGCATGTCTGGGCCCTGGTTCAGATGTAGGACTAGGATCTTATCTCCACGGGAAACCCATGCCCCGGCAGCAGTGCCTACAAGCATGCCGTGCTAATCTGTGTTGCTTCTAGACTGAAAGCGGTATAGCCACATTCACACAGCACTTCAGGCCAGTCTTTTAGTGCAGCTGAGAGCCAGGGTGATGAGCCTGCCCCCATGATATGTTAGGCCATGTTTGGCAGCATAGAGATGTAGCTCCACTGCTTCTGGATTAGGTGGCAGACCACTTTGAGCAGCGCAGCATGCTTCAGGGTACCACTGCTGGGGATGGCAAGCTCACTGTATTAGACATGGTCTTGCTAGTATGCGTGGTCTTTTCCACTGCTTTGTGGCTAGAAATACACGAACATCAAAAAGCAGAGTCTCCATGAAATGCAGAAGACAGAGCCCAGCCATTCTGCTATCCCATGGTATGGCAGGAATAGCAGGTACCCAGAACTGGCTCCATGTTTCCCTCCACAGTGCTTTAGAAGCAACGTAGTTTATCTCAGCTGGAGTCCTAGCTGCCAGTTGCAAACCTGCATTACCTGATTGTGCTGCAAAGGCTGGGGTGTTTCTCAGTGACCTACTGAAGTACTACGTTGAGCACTTCTTGGATTGGTTCTGGAGCTCCTATCATGATGAAGAAACTTCTTTTTATCTCCCTGTGATGATCCTGTTTCCTAGCTGATCTCTAGCCAAGGACTCTTCTGGGGTTTCTCTTCTCAATCAGCTGGACTGAAAGCTACCTAGGTCTTTTCTGCACCTTGCACAACTGAGCTATGTTGTGTCTTGTGACATGTTTCAAGACTGAGGTCAGGACTGGTCAGAATTGCACATGGAACCAAAACTGGAGAGAACAGGAGCAGAGCTGGGTGATGTGGGTGTCAGTAAAGTGAGATCCTTCCCTAACAAATGTAAAGCCCTGCATCGAGGTGAGGAAATGAAAAAAAGAGAAATAGGACCAGATCCAGGTCCACCTATCAGGCAGCTCAGTATTCCACCTTGCTCAACTCCCTGAAAAAATGTGGGTGTACCAACTTTTATAACATGCCATCAACTTTAACACTAAGTCATGACAAGCAGCAAGTGGGAAGAGGACACACCCAGATTTTGTATTCACTGTTTTTCTGGGATGGAACAGGATCATGCTCTGGCACCTGGCGCTGTAATTAGTCAGCTCTGCCCATTGCAGTGAAGTGATCTGGACATCCCCTTGTTCTTCAAACCTGTGTTGAGTCTTTGTTCTTTGTGTCCCCTGTAGCTGATGTGTTGTGAAACATAGTCGGACAGGTGCCTGATCTGTGATTGGAGCTCAGTTTTAGGAAGTGGCCAGAATATGAAAAAGTCCACAAACCTCTGATCCTAAGAAGAATAGTTATAATTGCCTTTTCTACTTGTCTTCTGGGGCAGCTTAGACACTTTCTGATCCAGCCACATCAGGGCAATTCCCACTGTTATAATGCATCTCCCTCCAGTTCTGCCACAGGGGCCCTGTGTGTACAGTCCCAATGGAATGTCCCCGTAGCTCTTGTGTCTCTATGGTGCACAGCAAAGTCTTTTGTTGTTAGGAAAAAGCCTTTAAAGGAAGCAGAATGATATGGCCCATGCTACATCCCTCCCCTGCCCTTAATAGAAGGGCCTGGGGAAGGTTACTGTTATCTTGGCCAGGCCGCACTGATTCATCTTGAGAAAGTTTTGCTCTAGTCAGTCAGTGCTGGCCAGCATGATGGTGAAAAGGGATATTGGGGTTATGGTTGATCACAGGATGATCATGAACTGACAGTTCAATGCTGTAGTCAACAGAGCTACTAGCATACAGGGATGCATTAGTCGATGCATTGTGAACAGGGCTAAGGAGGTGATATGTCCTCTTTACTCAGTGCTGGTGAGACCCCAGCTGGAGTACTGTGTCCAGTTCTGGGCACCGCACTTCAAAAAAGACACGGAGAATCTTGAAAGGGTCCAGAGAAGAAATGATTAAGGGCCTGGAGGACAAACCTTATGAGAAAAGACTAAGGGTTCTGGAACTGTTCAGCCTGGGGAAGAGATGATTGAGGGGGGGACTTGGTGGCTGTCTATAAGTATGTAAAGGTGAATATTGGGAGCTGGGAGAAAAACTGTTCATTAGGGTGCCCCAGAGGAGGACAAGGAGCAATGGCCATAAACTGTTAGATGATGGTTTCAGGTTGGATGTAAGGAAGAACTTCTTTATGGTAAGGGTGACCAGAATCTGGAATAGACTTCCCAAGGAGGTGCTGTAGTCCCCAACCTTGGAAGTCTTCAAGAGGAGACTGGACAGACACCTTGCTGGGATCATTTGATCTCAGCAGTATTCCTGCCCAGAGCAAGGGGGTTGGATCCGATCTTTTGTGGTCCCTTACAGCTCTTAATTTCTATTTCTGTGATTCTGTGATTTCCTTACAAAGGGCCTGATCAGGTTTCAGGCTAGGTCACTTCACCTTAAGAGTTGCCTGGATGTTGCTACCTAGTGGCATCAGGCACAGCTGGTGCCCAGGCCTACTTTCTCCCTAGCCTGCTATGGGCCTGTCTGGTACTGGGACCACGTTTACCTCCTAGCAACAAGGGGGCTGGCTCTGGTGCAGCAGTCCCCACTTCACCTTCAGCATACAGTGGTGTGATTAAGAAGGGGTTGGGATGGCCTTCCAGTTTTCATTCTGGGCTCTATAGCAGTGTGGAAATGCTGGTGGTTGAGGACACCTGTGACTTTTTCCATGTCACCACTTGAGCCTTTCTCCTCTTCTCTCCTCTTGCTGACTTGGACCCTGTTGAGAGGGTTCTCTGTGGCCACACTTGCATCTTTCCTGTCCACATGCTCTCTCTGAGGCAGGCCTGGTATTATGGAGGGTATCCCTTAATCTTATAGGCCTGGAATGAAGCTTGTCTTTGCTATGGTTGTGTGGGAGGTGGGGAGGACTACCACTTCTGGTTGTCCAGGAATGAAATGTTCCTAGTGCACATGTCCACTTCCTTTTCCAGTGATGATGGGGAAACAGCTTCTCCCTGCATCTGAAACTTCTGCCCACTGTCCCCCTTCTCTCTGTCCCAGGGACAGGGGCTAGAAGCCAGTTATTTGCTTCCACAGAGAAAATCTTCTAAAAACATAGGGATGTCTGAAGTCACAGTCTAATGCAGCCTGTGTTCCCCAAATGCACTTCTACATTCCTTTAGGCAAAGGCCCATATAAAACAAATGTGTGTTGTCTGTTCTGTATAACAATCAGGTTGTGTAGGATCATGGTGAGAAAGCAAGTCTGAGGTTAGAGCTGCTGGAATACACATGGAAACTGAGGGCCTGGTAACAGCTATCTCAATATCCATGGCTGTGGGAGGAGGCAGGGCTGTCACTGATTCAGGTCCCAGCAGCAGGGTGTGTGGTGATTTCCCCACATCTGAAAAATCTTGTGTGTGGTATTTTTCCTTTTCCCATTAATCCCCACCCCCAAGCACTGGAAAACCCCAGAAAAACCCATGGAGATTTTATGAATTGAAGCACCAAGCGTGGGCTGTGTCATTTGCTGGTTAAGCATAATTGGAACTCTGACACAGACGGTCACAACTGTTGTTACTCTGATGAATAGCTTGCAGTTCTGTAGGCAGAAGACATCAGATGAGTCCCCAGCCTACTAACTAGGTAGCCCTTCCACTTGCTTTCAGCTGACCTGACAGATAGATGCTTTCTATGTATTTGCTTTTTCAGTGCCTCCTTTATTGTGAAGTATTGACCAAACCAATACGAATATGTGGGAAACATGCTCAGTTGCTGCTGAGCTGCTTGAACTGGAGTTTGCAGGATATTATTCCAAGTGCAACAGTTTCCCCCTCCACCATCCATCTTGGGTTGAATTCAATGGTCCTTAAGGTCCGTTCAAACCCTATGACGTTATAATTTTATATTGGCATAT